GAATCCCATTGTGCCGCACGGCGGACTGATGCTCATGGTCTGATGGTCGTAGACTTGCGAATCGCAACGATTCAGCGAATCGACTGTGGTGTTGGGCTCAACGCCGTTGATTCATTCCAACGGTTCTTGCGTACACAGCCAGGCATATCAACTGCCAATGTGTTCTTGTGTGTCCAGGCCCAAACATTCCCCAATGATATGGTGTCTGCAACCAGTAATGGGGAAGAAGCAAAATCAGCATGCAGCTAGGCGTGGCCTGCTATTGAAGACATAAAGAAGTGGAAACAACGGGACAAGAAGCTGAGAAACACAGAGAATTCATCGTGCATTTGGGCCGATTTGTCAATGACAGATGTGGTCTATGGCTTGCTTGTCTGATATTTTCAATGCCATGCTTTACCACTGAAGCGCTGGACCGCCGTGCTCATGTTCTGCTGCAGATTTTCTTGCAACGTCGGATCGTTGATAGGGCATCGTGCTCTGATGACAGAATATCCCATCAGCGGACCGCATATTTGATTGTGTGTTGGACATTTTTTAAGAAACACGTCTTAAATGCGAATTGCTCTTGGTCCAATTGGACATCGGGCCTCGGGTTCACGAATCGGCTGGAGGTTTAGGTGTTAGAATCTGGGACCCAGATTCTGGGCAAAAACTCCCAAAGTCGTTGGACGAAGTGTTGAGCCCGTGCACATGCAGCAACCTGACTGAGGACCCAACGGATCTTTGGATGTGGTTTCGAAAAGTCTCTGGCATGGTGCAGGAAGAAAAAAAATAAGGCCCACGTGCTGGTTTCAGTCTAGTCACATTTGGAACGTTGGGCGGCAGTGCACTCGAAGATTTGCCACAAGAAGGACAGTTTTTTTGTGGGTCGAAAATGGATGGAAGACCGTTCTGTGGTCGTGTGACGATGCACCGAGCCTCTGGCGGCAGTTTTGCAATTTTCTGGCTCATGCCCTGGATGATGCTGGGGGCGGGACCAGTGAATGGAAACGTTAGTGTGTCGGCAACAGTTTGGACGCTTGAAGAAAGGTCGCTTCTGTTGGGGGCTTCTCCCGGTTTGATGGTGTTAGACCGATTGCTTCTGACATTGTGGAACCAAGGACGTCGATGTGACCTTGAGCAGCGCGTCCCAAGAGCTAGTTCTGGTTCGAATCTCTTCGTTTGAACAGCGCGAGGCGCCCCAAGTTTTGTCGCGTGCTTGTGGGCGTTGGCGATGAGAGGCGGTTGCTTGCTCGTTTTCAGCAGCAGAGCCTTGATTACGAGCCTAAGTCGGAGTTGTTGGGCTCGCTGCAAATTGTGGACTTGTGGTTCGACATTTTGTCTTTTCGACCACTGTTCATACCACCATCTGTGGACCTGGGCCGCGGCCCGTGTCCTCGAAATCCCGCTCCTTCGCTATCATGAAAGTACGGTACGTCGGCGCAAGGGTGAACGGCGCATCTTTGACAGCCGGGCGGAGCGCGCACACTGATGGGTTTTCGGATTGAACGCTCAGCGCTGCGCGCACTCGTGGCACATGCGTTTTCACAGTCTGGATTGGTTATGCCTGTTTGGAAGGTCACGAAGTTACGAAACGATAGCAATCACGCGAGAATTCTATGAACATGCGCACTTCGTGGCGCGTTTTGCAGAATCTCTTGAATGCTATGCATTCCGGTAGAGTCATGGCAGGAATCGTGGCGAAGCCGTGTCGCTGATAGAGGTGGCCACTCAAGATGCCATCCGCTCCGTTAAATCCGGTTCGTTAATTTTTGTCAGCTGTTCGTTAAATTCCGTTACAGAAAAAGGGAGAAAAATTCAGAAAAAAACGAAAAAAATCCAAAAAAATCGAAAAAAAACCCAAAAAATCACAACAACTACGGCTAGTTGAAAATCTAGTATGCATAGGTTGAAATAAAATACAAACATGCTCTCTAATAGCGAATTTCATAAACTATAAGTATGAAAAAACCCCAAAAATCCCCCAAAAATCCAAAAATCCGTTAATTTTTGGGTAATTTTTGTCTTTTTTTGTTATTTTCCGTTAATTAACGGATTAATTAACGGAATTAATCTCTGTCCGTTATTAACGGATCCGGGTGGCCACCTCTAGTCGCTGACCAGCAAGCAACTGCTCGCGGCGGCCGCCAGCGTAGTTGCAGCAATTGATGAGGTAGGTGTTTGCGGGCCAGGCGAGAAGGGAGCACTCGCGCTTCCCAAGCATGAGCGATATGGCCTTCTAAGCGCAGATTCCTCTAAGCGACAACTTCAAGCACGGATATGGTTATGTTTGAATATTTTCATGGGCACACAAATGGCGCTATAGCTTAAGCAGGAATAATCTGTGCAAGTGAGCATCGTGAATGGCATGAAGACGCAGATAGGCGTAACAACTTGCTGTGAGCACATGGCAGATGCAACTTAAAGTAACTTATTCCAATTTCTGAACGTTACCGGGTTGAGAGAAACATTGGGCTGCACGGTTCAGAGCAGTCAACATTAAGGCAAGCTGAGGTGCAAGACAAATGGTTTATTGATTTGAATTTCAAAATATGACCAAACGGAAGTGAGAAATTTCTCTTTTGCGAATTCTTCTGAAAATATTCCACATTCGTAACACTTATAATAGGAGTGTATGTACTGGAAATGGGCACGCAGAACTTAAGAAATAATTTGCGCCCAGGGGGGGAAAATTCCTCTTCAACGAGACCCAAACTTTGCGCACACTGCGCCACACGCACTGCGACTCTGAAAACGCGGTGCGCACGTTGTGTCAACACAAGCCACTCAATAGCGGCTCGAATGTGCGCAGCGCGTCGCGAGTGGGGCGCAGCGCACAAACTCTACCCGTGCCGCCCAATATCCGCGGCGGCCACGCGCGCGCAGCCACGCATTGCACTTTCCGGTGCGCGCTACTCGACTTTCAAACCGTATCTGCCGCCCGTTTTGGTAAGCGGGGGCGCGCGTGCTTCGCCCCACCATGTGTGGCGATTTTTCCGTGTGGCAGCAGAGCCGCGTCTCAACGCCTCGTTCACGAGTCGCCTTCCCCAGTGCCGTCGATTGGCGTTCCTCTGTCCGCTTCAAGTGTAGGGGGGGCTGCGGCGTGGGCGAAATTGAACTGGCGGAGGCTTGGTGGCTTGGGTGGGCGGGGGGTTCTGGGTCTGCTGGGCGTGAGTGAAACTGGAATGTCGTGAAATGATCTGAAAATTGTTACGATTTAGGGCGGAAGTCATTAGTATTGGAGCTGCCTCCAGCGGCCCCTGCGCAGGTCTTGCACAGGCCGGCTGACGACGGCTGCCTGAATGCCACGTTCGGAAGATCAACTGGCTCGCACGGCTTGCATTGTGAGGCGGCAATGTGGCCGCTTTATTCTTACTTCACACCCCTGGACATTGCCTAGCCCGAATCTGAGCTTATAGCGTTGAGCAACAGTTTATCATAGCCACCCCCTGTCGGACCCAAAACTTTCCACATATCTCAACCAGTGCGCATGCCCCGCCTTTTACAATATTAATGCATTCGGGCATATGAGCAGCAACACGCACGGTGTTACCCGGTATGGCGGTGGCGGATAGAGTTGCTACCGCATGCAGAATGCACAAAGCTGCAATACTTGAAAAAAATCATTGAAATTCGGCTTCCCCACTATAACCTTTTGACAATATTGCGCTTGGGCGTCATGATGTTCGTCAGAGATTAAGGCATTGATTAATATTTATGAAGACTGTGGCGATGCTGTGCGGCATCCGCAATTAACCTTGTTGAATTTGTAAGGTTTTCATTTTCGAACTGGGCGTTTGTCCTGGATGTAGTGCGAATGCTGTCAGACGAGAGGGACAGGGCCCAGGACGAGGATAAAAATTAGCGAATGCTACAAATTGTGGAAGTCACCTTTTGCTTTTCTTGAATCCTCGCTGCAGTGAAAACTGCAGAACAGTGTGGCATGCGGTATGGAGGGCATATCCTGGGATACGGCCATATCCAGGATACTCAACTTTTTCCCGACGTGTTCCTGGATCCACATCAGGGGAACAGTGGGCTCGGCTGCAGCAGGCCGAGAGAGCATCGCGCTGAATGTCGGCCCTCTGACAACAGCGCCGAAATCCGCAGATCCTGAAGTTGAGACCAGCGAGGCGCCAGGAATCTTGCCGGGGGCGGTCATACAATGCGCGGAGCCATGCACAAATACGGTTTAATCACCGCAAACATACCATGCGTAAAGCGTATTGTGGCATCCCCTTTTCTCTGCAGACACAAAACACCTGATGCGGACAAAACAACAACACTGCGCATATTTGTAGCATCTGCCACTTACCAATTTTTTTTTTAGATTCTTGCTGTGCAGATTTCTTGAAAGCATTTGGGCGCCCGAGTCGTGGATTTGCGCGCATGCTGTCCCTATATGCACAGCATGGTACCCTTGACTGCAGGCTTGGGAACTGTGGCACTTGGGGCCTGGTGGGCCAGCAGATGTACAGAGTAAGCAACAGCAGTGAGCGAGGGAAGGAAACGGTTTGAGCTGTAGTTTTTTAATCTGCAACACATTGCCATGTCTAACTCCTGCCTGCAGTGTGGTCAGTTTGCCATGTAGGGCGTGCTGTCTTTCTGTTGAGTGCATTGGTCAAACCAAAAACACGAGCCAGACGCTGGCCGGATAGAGCCTCCCTGCGGATGGCGTCCGTCAAGGATTTCTTGTGAGGGCCATGGCCACGGGCAGTCGCTGTACCCCAGCTAAGGGAACTCTGTCCAGCCATACCCACAGCTTCATTGGTGGATGCATCGACTCGATGGCTCACCGTCGCTGAATCGGTGGTTATCGAAAGGTGGATGGTTAACATTGGGAATTTATTTCTCCGTACATGGAGCCTTGATTTGCGTTCGCGGGAAGCTTGAACGCGGAGGAGGAATGGTGTTCAATTTCCGTCAATGGGGCCCAAATACTTCACAACAGAATCAAATTCTGGGGATGCAACCGCATTTCCGGTGCCGTTGTCAACCAGCGCTGCCCGCGGGGCTGGCTACCGCCTGCTGCACACAATCGCAGCCGCCGCCAGGCAGGACACCCCCGACCCGACGAGCAGCAGCACCGTCCAGCCTCCACGCGCCTTGCGGGCCCCAGCAGTCTTCAACTTGCTGGGCCTTGCCTCAGGGAAATATCGGGCCCGCAGGCGATCCACGAAATCCTTCAGGTTGGGGAACTGCTTCACCAGGGTGCCCCCTGCGGCGCACGCCTCGTCGTGCAGGTACTGATCGAGGAAGGCGAAGGCGATGCAGTCCGTCTCGCAGGGGGCGTCCCCGAAGAAGTACTTGCCGTTGCCCAGGTAGGTGGACAGCGCGGACAGGCTCGAAGACAGGATGAAGGACACGTCCTTATCGGAGTGGCGACCTAGGCCCTGTTGACGAGCAGCGGGCGTGCAAGGAGTCAACAGGTAGTTTCGAGCGTGGAAATCTGTGTTCAAAAGGAAAAAGCGATTTGGGCGCAACCCAGATTGCGTCAAAGTCGTGTCGAATTGATGCAGCCGCGTGTCAATAATGCGACAGTTTTGAAGCGTTAAAAATTGCGCAATGTTTGACACGGGAGGACGGGTTTTTTCTTAGCCGTTCTTGCCACAGTGTGAACTTGGCGAATGAGAATAAATAAAGACATGTGATAGTGCATACAACGATATAATATAGCGTACTTCCTGATGACTTACCACTACCAGTAGCATTGTGTAGCATACAGTACTATGTGCGCAACCAATGCATATTGCTCATCAAAAGTACGTTCTGGCGCCTCTGCATGCCATGGAGACGATACACACTCATTATATTTTTGGCATGCGACTTCAAACCGCACTTTGATGATTTGCGATGCAGTTGTTTCTGGTGACTACTGAAGGTCCGTCACGTAATTTCTCCATTGACAGTGGTGCAAAACAAGGCGGCACATTGCAAAGAACTCTGTGAATGCGCCAGAAAGCGGAGCGAATGGGAATGGAATCAGTCGGCAGGCGAGCATGGACAGCTGGGATCCAGCCGAGCCGTCCAACTGCAGAGATTGTGTGCATATGGAAAATGCATTTGTTGTCTTTCCCGTGAGCAAGTCTGATTCAGGTGAGACTGATCAACTTTAAATGCAACGTCATAGCATCACAACAGAGATGGAATTAACTATCCTGTTAATGGGTTTCTGCGAAGGGCGACGATTGGGAGGGCGCCCAACGGCCAGGTCGGGCCGTTCCGCCTTTTGGACAGTTTGGGCCAGTCATAAGTCGGTTTCTGTCACCCCTGTACTCGGGGTCAGGGCTGCCCGACGTACCCAAGGGAGCTTGGGTTGAACCTTGTACCTTGGGCGCAGCCAAGGGGTCGGGTCAAGCTGGCCCTTGGGTTTGGCGGCAAGTGGGAGTGCTATTTCAGGCGCGACCCTTGGCGCCCCCCTTATCTTGTTTCGCACCCGCCCAGCCCACCCGAATAGAGTGAGTTCGGTTAGCTGTGGGATGGAGAGGGAGTTGAGTACGAGGAAAGGGAGCTGACGCTGGGTTGGGTCACCATCAGAGTGACATTAAGTACTATGCGAAGCGAGGGCACATTTCAAGTGGGTCGCCGAACGGGTCTTGTATTAGTGAGGTGATGGACACCAAATTGTGTGAATGTAATGTATTGTCGTGTGGGGAACACGGGGGGGGTTTGAAGGAGACCGGTATTGCAGAAATGGTGTTGAACAACGTGCTGGGGTGGGCTGGGATGGAGGGGAGTTGCGTGTGGGGGGGCAAGGTGGGTGGGTGGTTGATCCTGGGCATATTAGGCCAACGGCCCAGCCCACTCCACCCTTTCTCTCGCAATTCAACACCCCCATGTTATCCTTTGTGACCCAAGGCGACCACGCAGCCTCAAAACTCGTATTAATTGTTGCTGTTCGTGCAGCGGCATGTATCGCCGCCATTCGCAATGCCGCTGACAAAAATTGCCTATTATGTGCTGCGTGTAATAGTTATTCAACATGTTCACCACAGTACCAACATTCCAACGACAATGTTGCAACACGTGGCGCAGTGGATAACAATTGGTCATTGCTGGTGCCAAATCTTTCTATACAAATGCTCACTCGGTCCACCCACCTTGCTGACCAAAGCACAACGAATGCAAATCACGAGCATCAACTGACGAAAGGACCACAAGCCCAGGCTTGGTTTTTACTTTTACGTTTTTACGCATAAATTTGCAAAAGGGCCTATTTTTAGGGCTATTTTTACGTTTTTACGGCTCCCTGGGACGCCCAGATTACACGATGCAAGTTGCGTACAATGATCAGTCCTCCGCCATATCCAGCACCCGCAACACAGTGTCCACCTCGCCCTTGGCCAGGGCGATGATGGTGTTTACCAAAAACTCGTTTTCTTCCCTTTCCAGGGCGTCTGGCTGCCACTCTCCGGACTCCGTAAGTCTGTGTGTACTCTTCTTATATGCACCGGGCAGTTTTTACGTCGTATTTACGTATTTTTATGCATTTTTGCGCGCAAAAACGTAAATACGATCGGGTTTTGCGGCGTAAAAAGCATGCCTGCAAATAGGCATGATCGCCGTGATGCCCAAATGGGACTCACTCGCGTTATCTCGCGAGCAAGCTTCGCCTGTGCTGCTTGTTCATTGCAAAGTATTAAACCACAATAAAGGCAGTCACCTGCTTGTGGAGAATGCTCTGCCCTTGAAGCTGGGCTAAGGCAGGGAGGATCCAGCGGAAAGGAACCGGCGTCCTGGCCTCCAGGCGCTGCTTTGTGACGAGAAAGCCCTGATCCAGACGCGAAACGCATTGCAACAAACCAGATGGCGATGCAACTTGCATGCCAAAGCAACTTGGGAAGGTATTCAAGCAATTTCAAAATGTTTTGAAGCGTCCGCCCAGAGTCGCGTGCTGTGACCCAAGATTTGGTCTAAAAGCTCGTGAATTTAGCGCCACGCGCTGGCAACCAAAATGGTCGCAATTAATGAATTAAAAGATGAAGTTCATTGTCATTAATTATAATCCATTAGGATCCATTAGGATCCATTGGTAATTTTCGTCGCGCTTCTCGGGTGGCTTTCTGGGATGGCTTCTCACTCTTATTGCTATTGAGGTATGTATTGAGATATTTATCCACACAGTTCTCTTTCAGGCAACATGCCATTAGTTTGAATAGGTGCAGTACCAGTTCAACTTAATTGTACATACTGTAGTTTCAGAGCGTCATGTGCTTAATCGTCAAGCTGGTGCAATTGTTAGGTGCTGTGTCGCATAGCGTCGATGGAAACATAGGCCCTAAGAAAGACCTGTTTTGTAAAACTCCTGATGATCGATGAGACTATGCATGATATGGAACGACCATGCAAGGGCACCAGGCTGCAATTAAGATCACGCGCATACCAGTAATAACTGATTACATACGAAATTGCGTAGTTTGGCACTAAAACTAACAAAATTTAGGTGGTGTCAGCATCACAAAAATCGACCTTCACCAGTGTACAGCTCTGGTTTCAACAACACACCTCCGGATGCGCGAATTGATAGTATATGATGCCATACATGAGGTTGTCCTCGCACATGTGGAGGCAGGCTGTGTTTATGGCTTTCTGCATCGGCGTCTCGGGCTCCTTGATCTTGGTGGTCGACCTGTAGGTGTTCTTCAGGTAATCGATGATGAAGGTGGAGTCCCCAAGGACCACGTTGCCGTGCGTGATCCAAGGAATCTGGCAGACGAGCGAATACAGTGAGCAACAATAACAAGAGCAATCGCACACAGATTAATAAGCAACAAGCAAATTATGAAAGAAGCAAATGACACATTGAGAACTGAAAAAAATGGACATAATTGATGCAATGGGCTTCATCTGAACATCTGTCCTGCTGACGAAGCACCGCTGCCAAAAAAGTAGGAAAAGATTAAAGTAGAAACATATATATGTAAGGCAATAGCGTGAAGCAAATAGAATTAAATCAAGCGCATGGGCCCCAAACCGGAACCCAAAGCACAAACACCACAGCGCCAAGGCTTGGAACCCCAGACGCCCTCCATGAATCCCCAGCAGCCAGGGATGTCTCGGCCTCCCAGAACGCCCTTACACAATGCTGTATTGCTGCAGTGTGGCATGCACCGAGGGAAACAGTTGCGCTGCCGCAGCGCGGCTGTTAGTCAAGGCAAACGTGATGCACGAGAGAATACTTCACAAAAGAACACCAAGTAATTTATTCTTTTCGAGCGTTGAAAGGTCGGGTCAACGAGGTTCTGATTATAAAGAAGTGGACGCCGGCTATGCGCCCGCATAGGCTATGCGGCTATGCGGCTTGCGGCTATGCCAGGCAGCTCACGCAACAGCTGCCTTCTTCGCTTCTAGCAGTTGATTTCTAGGCAACTCTGGACCAGTTGGTCCACAGACTGCGCTTGAACGTGAACAAGGGTTCAGTGCACTCTGGGCAAAGCTTCGTGGAGATTCGAGGCTTGGCTACACAGAGGTATCCTTCATTGGCTTTCGCCAGGTCCGTAGTCGGCCTTCCTGTGCGAAAAGAGCGCAGCGGCTGCCAATTTGTTTTGCCTCACCCCTTAAGTACGGGTTCGCATATTGGATCACGAGCCGTAAACTTCTATAGTGTATAGAGGTTGCAAGCCACTGGGCAAGCTGATGATCATCCATGTGATGGCAGCAATGAACACCAAGGATGGAAGCATGCGATTTACGAAACTTGCGTCGGCCTGTGAGTCATCATCGTCATTTGTTACATAACAAGGCAATGAGGTAGCCGTGAGCTTCCTATTTTGCCTGAGCAAAGCAGAGTCTGTGAGTCAGGAGGCAGGTGGATCCCGAGAGTGAACAAGTGCATGCCAACCAGATGCCAAAAGTAAAAAAGTCTGGGCACGGGCGAAAACCACCGTCAAAGCGGCCAAAACCGCCGACTAGGCGCCCGCGTTTCCGCGCCCGGGCGCTCGCGGAAGCAGCGGACTTTCGTCAATTCGTCAAGGCCCACTCCAGACCCGCGGGATGAGGCCAACGCACCGGTGTCCCAAGCGCGAGCCCAGACCGCCAGACCGCGGAAATCTCGACCACCGTGCTCACCCCCGACGGGAATTCCCGCGCCTGTGGGGCCATCCCGCCCAATCCGAAATCGTGAGCATCCAAGATGCCACCGCGTGTCGTTGATGCGCGACGCCCGCGGCAGACGCGGTCGCAAATAAACGGCCAGCGCTGGCCGCGCCGTCGGCTCCCCGGCCCAACTGGGCAATCTCTGAGAGCCTGGGAGCGGTCGGACTAAAGCCCTAAATTGCACTGGAAAAGCACCAACGCACCAAGAAGTTCTTGGCAAGAACCGGGGCACCGACGCCCTCGGCGCACCGCAGCCCTGCAAGTCACAGCCTGCGCCCGGAGAGCCCGGTGCGGGCTCCGACTCGCCGGCGCCGGCTTGACGATCCGCACAAGCCTTCGCAGTGGACACAGCGCCGTTTGTCACTGCCGCTTCGGATGCGTCGCGCCACCACCGACCAACCCGCAACGTCGGCGAGGGTCAGTTGCGTCCGTTGCGGCCTTGGCTGCCTTCAAGAAGCGGCGTCCGGTGGAGATGCCTCGCCGCGCAGCGACGCGCGGGTTGTCCTGCCCACCGCGCAGCACTGAACGTGCTGGGCACCTCAAACAGCACATGCCCTGCTGCGATCAGGAAATTCTGCGCCATATCCTGTGGCGAAAAGACGCGCCTCGACAACATTTCCCTTTTGATCGCGAGGCGGGGCAGACAGTTGTTCGATTTTCTCTTCTCGTCGAGGATCGCCGCAGCAGGGATCGGTCGGTATGGTTGGTTTTGGCATGAGGATCTTTGGTTCCGGATCGTTGGTGAAATGGATTGGTTGGGCCCACTCTGTGCCACTGGCCCCACACCACGGACCGTCCGCATTGCATATCCGAATGGACAGCAGAGGCCAGTGTCCAACCCACCGCCTTCCCGCCCTCACGCGACGGACCAAGGCAGCCAGCCCAAGCGTTCCCCAAGCCACCTTCCCCCGCCACTTCCATGGAAAGAGCACGATGGCAACCGCGCACAGTTCTTTTGTCAATTTCGCGCATGCGTTCAAATGAATCCCCACTCCTCGGCACCCCGCCCTTTGGCCCCCTGGAGTCGACGTCCGCGTCGTAGTCCAGTCCCACGATGCGCAGGAAGGGCTCCACCCCCCATACAGTTCCCCCAACCACCATTCCCACAAGCCCTTGGACACGCACGGGCCCCGCAGCGCCCTTTATTGGCGCACAAATTCTCTCACGCTTGGAAACGGATCTCCTCTCCGTTGAGCACCTTGCCCTTTGGCCCCCTCCAGTCGACGTCCGCATCGTAGTCCAGGCCGTTGATGCGCAGGAATAGCTCCACCTTGGCCACGAAGGGCGAGCCGGAGCTGGCGGTGTCGCCGTTGGGCGGCGAGCCGTGCAGCACCAGCCGGGCGCTCGGGTCGCCGGACTTCGCCGAGTCGGGGATGGCGTTTCCCATCGCGGACACACGCGACGAGTGGCAGGAGGGTGGGGCCGTGGCAAGGGCGGGAAGAAGAAAGGCGGGGGGGGTAGGGTAGTGCGCAGGGTGCGGAGGGTGGGTGATGGCCTTTGGGCTCAAGGGGAGAGGCCCCGTGGGAGTCTGCGCACCAAATCGGTGACTGATTGCACCAAGTCACGTGCACATCATGTCCAACTCCGTCCAAACTAACCTAACCTAAAACCTAAAACCTAAACCTAAACATGTCCTAACCCTAACCCTAACCCCAACCCTAAAACTCACCCTGAAACTAAACCTCACCCAAAAATTGAGGTTAAGACAAAGTGTGCACGTGACTTGGTGCAAGCAGTCACCGATTTGGTGCAGGCAGTAATATTATTTCGTGTGCGGGTGTCAAGGATGAAACCGCTGTCAGTGCTGACTTGTGGAGGCCTCCGGTGATGTGGAGAGTACATTAGCCCCCTTGTCTTTCCGCGACGATCCCTTCCTTCTGATGATGACAAGGCCGAAGTAGGTCCGTGGGTGCCGAAACAAGAAGGGATCTTCATGGAAGACAGAGCGACTAATTTCATGCCCAGTGTGTGCGTGTCCAGAGCGTCAAGTGCTGACCGGCGAGACCTTCAGCGGGAGTCACAATGTGTTGCATTCCCAGGAAAAAACAATCATGCGAAGGAGCACCCCCCGTCCAAGCGGAACAAGGTGGGCCCTAATGTGGGTGTGTGTGCGT